TGTTGAGCTGGTGTTCCACTTCTTGCTGTGTCTCCCACATCAGGGAGTCCCTGCAGGCCTCCCTCTCAGCTGCGACCACTGTGGCCTGGGAGAAGAGGGACACCAGCCGCCCGAGCTCAGCCCCTCGCAGTTCAGGGGCCCGGGGCACGGAGGCCTGTCCCTCTCAGGCTCTCTAAGCCATTTGCACTGGAGGCTCTGCGTGCTCCAGCGCAGGCCGCGTGCCCTTCCCATAGGCCATCGCTGTGGGCACAGCTCTGGGGCCCAACCATTTGGGGTCATCTCCTTGGCCGTGTGACCTTGAGCAAGTTAACCTCTTGGGCCTCAACTTTTTCACTTGTAAAACGGAGGCAATATTCCAACCTTAAAGGGTTTCTGGGAGGACTAAATGAGTTAGATGCGATGATGCATGCAAGCAGCTAACAACAGTGCCTGGAGCATGTAAGCACCCAGTAAAGTGTAGCTGCTGCCATCCCTCATCTTGTCCATGTTTTTAGCCACATTTACATCCTTTGCCTTATTTGATTTCCCCCATTCTTCTTTTTTTATTTTTATTTTTTGAGATGGAGTCTCGCTCTGTTGCCCAGGCTAGAGTGCCATGGCATCAGCCTAGCTCATAGCAACCTCAAACTCCTGGGCTCAAGCGATCTTCCTGCCTCAGCCTCCCAAGTAGCTGGGACTACAGGCATGCACCACCATGCCTGGCTAATTTTTTCTATATATATTGGTTGACCAATTTCTTTCTATTTATAGTAGAGACAGAGTCTCGCTCTTGCTCAGGCTGGTTTTGAACTCCTGACCTGGAGCGATCTGCCTGCCTCGGCCTCCCAGAGTGCTAGGATTACAGGCATGAGCCACCGTCCTGGCCTAAAATGATTTTTTATCACTATTTTTTGGTTTTCCTATTGTTACCTTTGTAGCCTTAGGGGATATGCATATAACATTGTTTCTTTTTTGGTCAGCCATAGGCAGTATCTCGTGATTTTGTTTTTATTTTTTTTTTATTTATTTTTTTGGAGACAGAGTCTTACTCTGTTGCCTGGGCTACAGTGCCTTGGCGTCAGCCTAGCTCACAGCAACCTCAAACTCCTGGGCTTAAGCAGTCCTTCTGCCTCAGCCTCCCAAGTAGCTGGAACTACAGGCATGAGCCACCATGCCCGGCTAATTTTTTTCTATATATACACTTTTAGCTGGCCAATTAATTTCTTTCTATTTATAGTAGAGATGGGGGTCTCACTCTTGCTCAGGCTGGTTTCGAACTCCTGACCTTGAGCGATCTGCCTGCCTGGGTCTCCCAGAGTGCTAGGATTACAGGCGTGCACCGGCCATTTCCTCATTTTTTAGTTCAAACTTTCCATCATGTCTGGTATTTCACCATTTTTTATATAGAACCCAGACCAACCCGTCTGTAGTCCCCATTTGTGTATCGCTGCTTGACTTCTTCAGGTTGAGACCCTTCCTTTTCTGCTAGGCAGTACTGCAGATGCTGCTGACTTTTAACTATATGGTATGCACTCCCCATCTGTCATGGTGTCAGTTTCCCCATATGGTAGGTATGTCAAACTGTGGAGGAGAGAAAAGATCACCTTGTTTCAGGTTACCAGCCATTGTGCTTTTCACCATTGTTCCCAGCAGCAGTTGCTGGTGGCTGAGACCTAGGGCTGGCACAGGCCGGGGGCTCAGTGTGCAAAGTCTTTGGAGTCAGGACCTGGACGCAGGTTTTCTCATCCCTAGGACAGGGGCTGCGGGAGAGGATGCCTTTACCCTCCACGATTTGCCTCCTGTGGCCACAGTCTCAGTAGAAGAAAACCAGTCAGATGCTGATCAGTCTTCATTCCCAGGCTGGGTGTCTGCCCTATCTTTGCCCTTTTTTCTCCCCAGCCCTGCTAAGCTGGGCTAGACTAATGACAGGGCTTCCCGTTGACTGAGGTGCTCCCTGAGGTAGAAGAAGTATTTCCTGAGCTGCCATAGCTGCAAGAGACACACACCTAAGTGCTTCCCTCGGCTTCCTAGAATCCCTTTCTTCCTTGTACTGAACTCTTTGCCCAGTGGGAGGTTCCAGAGCAAAACACAGAGGGCTCTTCTCCTCCTCTGTCCAAATTCTTCAGGCCTGGACGTTTTATCACTGTCTGCTTTTTGAGGCCTTGCCCTGATGGTCACTAGGGGAAGGGACAGGGTGGGGCCTCAATGCTGGTCACTCGTCTCAGACCCCTGGGCTGTCCTCACAGTTACTTTCTGAATGTCTGCCAGTTCTGAAGACCCAGCCGCCCCTCCCTCTCTTCCTCTGCCCCCAGCAAGCCAGGCATCTCAACTCCACGCAGAGCCTTCCTCTGACTTCCACCTCCAGGCCTTTGGCCCTGCCTGCCTGCTGCTTTCTGTCTACTTAAATCCACCCGTCGGTTCATGCAGGCTCCCTTCCTTCATGCAGGCTTTGCGTGCGGCTCCCCTCCACACCAATCCCTTTCTAACCTGGTCTCCTAATAAGCCACATGGCTTACTAAAATAATCAAAAACAGAAGAGCAAGCTGCTGAGAGCACATGTATTGCATTCACATAAACCTGGGTTTGAATTCTGTGCTGTTCAGGACTCCTGGGTTGCAAGTGACAGAGAGCCAGTGTGAACCCTTAGCAAAAGGGAGTGTGTCGGCCCATGTGGCCAGACCACTGACCTGTGGATGCCTGGAGCTGGGAACACAAGCACTAGCAGGGCCTCTTCTCCCTCATTTCCCCAACCCTCGGCAGGGTCTGTGTTCTCACCTGGCTGTCTCTTGAGGGTGGAACCTTGGCTGCAGGCAGCCCTGGGATTGCATCCTTAGCGCCCCAGCACCAGGAAGGAAGGAGCTCTTTCCCCCACCTTTAGTTATAAAGTCCCACTGGGCCAGCCTGGGTCACTGGCCCTCCCTGTGGCCAAGAAGACATCATCTCTTACCAGAAGCAGTAGCAGGAAGGAAACAGGCAGACAGGACTGGTGGCTGCGGCTCGTTACCACATGGGTGACCTGGCTAAGCACTTAACCCCTCCAAGCTTCAGCATCCTCACCTGTACGGCAGGAGGGTGCTCAGTAAGTGGTGGGTGGGGGCACTGAGTAGAGCAGACCGGAAGACTTAGTTGACCTGGGGAAGGCCCATGCCACCTGTCTTGCTTGCCACCAGAAGGTGCTGCGATCCCCAAGAGCTTGCCTCCCTGTCCTGGGTGGCTCTGCCAGCCCAGTATGGCTGGTCCTTGGGCTTGGTTGAGAAGGGCCCTGGGAAATTAACAGAAGCGATAGCGGCATTGACAGAGGGAAGTCTTGGTGCCTCTGAGCTCATGTTTGCCCCTAGAAAAGCAGCAACTGGTAATTGTGACCGTTCTAAATCAGCCAGTCACTGAGCTGGGAATGCTGGAGAATACAGCTCCGTGTCACACAGCGCCAGTGGGACAAAGGGGACACCTTTGTCATCTTAGTCACCTCAGTCATCTTAGGGGGCAGGGGGCTGCTTGTCACTAGCAATGTGCGAGTAACGGCAGGGACGCCGCAAAGGGGATTTGGACTTTGATGGGCGGGCGGGTGAGTTGGGAGACACTAAAGGGCACCAGCTTTCTGGAGGGTTGAGAAGGGACAGCACGCTCCAGCCCCATCTGGCACAGCCAGACCGAGCTAGCAGGGAAGCGTCCCCTGGAGTGGGCTGGTGGGACTTTGGGGGAAGTTTCCTCGGGGAAGCCTTCCCGGAGGAGGCGGCCCTGGCCCTTGAACTTGGGCGCACCTGCGGACAGCAGATGACCGACTGCTTTGTGAGAGGCGCGGGCGCCCAAAGGTGTGTTGAGCTGGTGTTCCACTTCTTGCTGTGTCTCCCACATCAGGGAGTCCCTGCAGGCCTCCCTCTCAGCTGCGACCACTGTGGCCTGGGAGAAGAGGGACACCAGCCGCCCGAGCTCAGCCCCTCGCAGTTCAGGGGCCCGGGGCACGGAGGCCTGTCCCTCTCAGGCTCTCTAAGGCACTAGAACTCAGTCGTGAGTGTCTCCCGCTGCCCTCGAGTCCCCAGCCCCTGCTGTGGCTGGTCCTGGGGGAAGAGTCCCACAGGAGGCGAGGACTGACCCCTCCGTCCGCGTCCCCCAGGCACGGCTCCGGCAACACCGAGGAGGCCGCCCGCGCGCCGCCCTTCCACCTGGACCTCTGGTTCTACTTCACGCTGCAGAACTGGGTTCTGGACTTTGGCCGCCCCATTGCCATGGTGAGTGTGAGGCTGTGGACAGAGCCCTGACCGGCGCCGGGGACTTGGTGTGACCTGCATTCGCCGAGTGACCGTAGACAAGTCACTTCCCCTGTATCCCCCAGTAAACTGAAGAGAACAGCGGGGCTGCCGTCCTGTCCCTTAGCTCCGTGCCTGGGGTGGGTCTGGCAACTGACAGCAAGTGCGGGCAGGGGTCGGGAAGCCTGGCTAGTCACACTGCGAGACTCTGAGCGGTCACACCGTAACCGCCTATAGCGAGTGTCTCCAAGCAGGCGAACCAGGTCATCCAGAACACCACCTCGACAAAGGCCACGGGGAAGGAAGGGGAGTGCCCCGCCATCCTTCCCCACCGCCCTGGCCGCGGCATTTTTCTGGAGCGCAGGCTGCTTTTGCATATTATAGATGCCTCTGGCCTCAGTGCTTGGTAGTGGGTGTGGGGCGACCATCCCTTCCCTCCTGGCTGCTGCGTCCGTCAGTGCCCAGTGGCGGCCTCCACACGAGAGACCAGTACTGGAAGCTCCAAAGCCCCTCACTTGTAATAGATAGATGGGTGGAAAGACAGACAGACAGACAACAGAATGTGAAAACCATTGAGGTACCACCATGTACCACATTATTATTTGTGGGGAGTTGGGAGGTATAAAAATAACAATATCCAATGCTGAAATTCACAGCCCATACATGCTAGCGATTATGCAAATTAGCAGAGCCCTCTGGAAAGCAGGTTAGGCAGGTAATAACTAGTGCTTGGACTAATACCTAACACAGTAAGTGCTCAGTACATTTTTATTGAATGAAGTAGTTGTTATAATAATTACAGCAAGATAAAAATGGCAGCTAACCTACATTGAGTACTTACTCGGTTCTGAGCTCTTTACATGTTTAAAATTAATTAATTCTCATATCATCACTATTATTAATCCCAATTTATAGATGAGGAAACTTGAGGATAGAGAGTAACTGGCTCAAGGTCACCCAAGTGGCAAGCGGAGGAGCCAGCCTCTGACCCAGGCATTCTGGCCCCAGAGCCCACCCCCTTCCCGACAAGGTTCAGCTCTTCCTCACATAAGCATCTAGAACCCTGACATCCTGACCCAGTACTGTCCCTTCCAAGAATCTGCCCCGAGGACGGCATCAGCAGGAAGACAATGGCTTCTCACCCAAAGCTGTTCACTGCAGTGTTGCTCATAATGGCCAGATCTTGGAAGTGACTGCGGTGTCCAGCAGTAGGGACTGGGTGAATCAGCTTTGCTGTATCCATTACAGAGAGCGTTTCCCGGCCGTTAAACAGAAACTGTGGACACTGTAGAGCAACCTGGAATACTTACGGAGAAGAAGGGTGCCTACAAGGCATGGAGACTGATTGCAAGTCAGTAACAGTCTCATCTGCCTGAGATCAAAGACTCGGTGGGCACAAAGGAAAGCTGTCCTGGCAGTGGGAAGGGCGTTGTTGGATGCTGCCCTCCTTTCTGTAGATTTGTTTTGTAAGGTTTGCATGTCACTGTTTAAATGTGGGAAAAAGAAGAGGGATTGAGCCAGGAGTCAGGACGTCTGGTCAGGTTGTGGGTGACCTTGGGCAACTCCCTGTCCTCTGGGTTTCATTTTTCTCATCTCCAAGAAGACTAGCTGCTCTGAGCCCGCTTCCAGAACGAAGGTCCCACGTAGGGGGGGCCAGAGGAGCTTCCATCAAACTGGTCTGGGGAGAGGGAGAAAGGCCAGGAGCGGGCTGGTGGCTCTCCTCACTCACTTAGGGCTCAGCCTAACTGGCCTAACAGGGTCTCCTGTTGGGCACATCACTTCCCCCATCCTGCCCAGAACTGCTGTGGCCACTACGACCCTACGTGGGACTTGTTGGGAGAGTGTACATCTGAAAAGCTCATGTATACACTGGCGCTTTTCAAATGCATGCCTTATAGTCCCAGATTTATAATAACTAAAAATAAAAAACGTTTACAAGTTATAAAAGTAACATGTTGTAGTTGTAACATAAAGGAGTAAAGTTAGGCTGGGCACAGTGGCTCATGCCTGTAATCCTAGCACTCTGGGAAGCCGATGCAGGTGGATCGCTCAAGGTCGGGAGTTCGGGACCAGCCTGAGCAAGAGCGAGACCCTGTCTCTACTAAAAATAGAAATTAATAGGCCAACTAAAAATCTATATAGAAAAAATTAGCCGGGCATGGTGGCACATGCCCGTAGTTGCAGCTACTCGGGAGGCTGAGCCCAGCAGTCTGAGGTTGCTGTGAGCTAGGCTGACGCCACAGCACTCTAGCCCTGACAACACAGTGAGACTCTGTCTCAAAAAAAAAGAAGCCTACCCCTTTCCACTCTCACTGTTGAAAATTTGGGGAACATCCTTCCACACCTTTCTCTGCTCATACAAACATATATACATCCTTTTTCTTTTTTTCTAACCAAAATGAGACTTGACTTTATACCTTATTCTTTTTATTTTTTGAGACAGAGTCTCACTTTGTTGCCCAGGCTAGAGTGAGTGCCGTGGCATCAGCCTAGCTCACAGCAACCTCAAACTCCTGGGCTCAAGCTATCCTGCTGCCTCAGCCTCCCAAGTAGCTGGGACTACAGGCATGCGCCACCATGCCCGGCTAATTTTTTTTTCTATATCTATTAGTTGGCCAATTTCTTTCTATTTATAGTAGAGACGGGTCTCGCTCTTGCTCAGGCTGGTTTTGAACTCCTGACCTCGAGCAATCTGTCTGCCTTGGCCTCCCAGAGTGCTAGGATTACAGGCGTGAGCCACTGCACCCAACCTATACCTTATTCTTCAACTTGCTTGTTTTACTTTAGAATATTTTATGAGCTGAGTACGGTGGTACATGCCTGTAGTCCCAGCTACTCAGAAGGCTGAGGCAGGAGGATCACTTGAGCCCAGGAGTTCAAGGCCAGCCTGGGAAACATCATGAGACCCTGTCTCTAAAAAGTAAAAATAAAAAAATAATATAAAATATCATTACCGTTAATGGCTACTTAACCTTCCATAGTAAAGAAGTACTATGATGTATTCAGCTAGTCCCGTTTGATTGAAGAGTCAGCCTATTTCTGGGACTTTGCCATCACAGAATGTTCCAGCAAACATATATTAATATATCTCGATATAAGCAAGGATACAGATATGTGCACGTACACACACATTGAGTGAGAGAGAGAGATTTCTGTGTCCTTAGAGTCTTTTTTCTATAGGTTTGTTTTGTCCAGTGTGGGATTTCGGAGGTAAAAGAGACAACCATTTAAATCTTTGCCTGAAACTTTTGGTCATTACGTATGTTTTCAGTCAACAGATACTAGGAGCACAGTTTGGTAAAATGTTTTGACCTTGCCATAGCAGTTTTCACACTGGCCTGGACAAGCAGGAACGGCCCGGTCTCCCTTCCTCTCTCAGGGAAGGTGGGGAAGGAAGAATTGAAGCTACTCTGTAGGAAGTACTTATTTTCTACTCCGTTTCCTAATGTCCCCTTGACTTGACTGGGAAGCAGTCCGCCCACTCCGTGGATAGCGTTTCCCATGCCAGGCCCAGGGTCAGGACACACCGTCGTCACGGTACGCCCTTGGAGTGCCAGAGCCCTACCTGGGCCACCTCTCTTGTGTTACTCAGGGGAAACTGAGGCCCAGAGAGGGAAAGGACTAGGCCAGGGTCACCCAGGAAGTTGGGGCACAACCAAGTCCCAAAGGAGCCTCCCGACTCCCAGGCTGGTCTCCAGGGAGATCCCACTGGGCGAGGGGCACAGGGTCAGGTCCTGGATTTACATCTACTGTGTGACTGGGGGACAAGTCTGCTTACCGTTTTGGGGACTCAGTTTCCCTATCTGTGAACACCTTCATCCCAGGGCTACCAAGAGGGCCCCCCTAGAGATCACAGCAAGACCTAAGTGCATGCGATGGGGGTGGGGCAGGTTCCCAAAGGCTTCATGTGCCCAGGTGAGCCTGGTCTTCTCCTTGCTCTTCTCCTTGCTCCCCAGCTGGTGTTCCCTCTCGAATGGTTTCCGCTCAACAAGCCCAGCGTGGGGGACTACTTCCACATGGCCTACAACGTCATCACGCCCTTTCTCCTGCTCAAGGTACAGTCCAGGTCCTCCCCCCGCCCCCCATCCTCATTCCTCCCACAACCTGGCAGGAGGCTGGTGCCAAGGCCTGTGCCCTGGCTCAGGCACTTCCCTGCCTACTGCGGGGGCCCAGGGGAGGCAGAGCCGGAGGGAGGGAGAAGGCCGCCACAAGGAGGGGCATTTGATATGGCCTCAGCCCGGTGTGGCAGCAGGTGAAGAGGGAGAGGTTCAGGCAGAAGGACCTGAAGACTCGGTTGTGCTTGGAAAATCAGAAGACATTTGGGGAGGCTGAGATGGAAGTGATGATGGGGGGGGGTGTCCAGAGAGAGGTCAGGGAACCAGTTGGGAAGGCAGGTGGGGGCTGGGCAGAAGGACAGGCAGCAACGGTGGGTGGACTCTATCCTCTGGCCTAGGGAGCCCTGACTTCGAAATGTCACTGGGAGCCCAGGGCAGGGGCTGCTCCCAGCTTTGCACTTTGCCAAATAAGGGCTCTTAAAATTGCTACCCACTGAGCAGCCCTAATCCAAAAATCCAAAATCTGAAACTTTCTGAGCACCAACATGATGCCACAAGTGGAAAATTCCACACATAAGCACTTAACCAAAACTTTTTTCATGCACAAAATTAAAGTATTGTATAAAATTACCTTCACATATTCTGCATAAGATATATATGAAATATAAGTGAATTTCATGTTTAGACTTGTGTTCCACCCCCCCAAGATATCTCATTATGTATGTGCAAATATTCCAAAATCTGAAAAAAATACAAAATCCACAACACTTCTGGTCCTAAGCATTTTGGTTAGGGATACTCAACCAGTATCGCCATCTACTGTCCCCATCATTTCGTTATGAGGAAAGACAGTTCAAATCTCCAAAAGTAGGAGGGGTATAATCTGGGAACTCAGGGGTGTGTTTTCAGTTCAATAATGTCATGTCAGAAGCACCCGCTCCCATTCCACTCAGAAATCGGGGACCCTTCAGCAGGCCAGCCCAGCTCCCCAGGGGCACGGGCGGGGCTGGTGGGAGGGCTGGGCCTGGAGCCTGGACTTCTGCATTGGAGGCCAGGTTGTCACGGCCAGCTCGTGGGTCTGATGTGACCTTGGACATGAATTGTGCCTGAGTCTGTTTCCACCGAGGGGAAAGGGGGTGCTGTTTCTGGCCCCTGCTGGGTTCACGGGCATCCCGTGAGAGACTGGAGGCTGGGCTGGCCCGCTAAAGGGACCACCACTTTTGGAGTGACCCTCCCGATAGTGGCGTCCAGCCCGGCCCGGGTGTGAGGAAGGGAAGCAGAAGGGGTCGTGGGGAGGCGGAGGCAGGGTCATGCTCGTGGCCTCGCTCTGAACCCCAGCTCGTGGAGCGGTCCCCCCGCACCCTGCCGCGCTCCATCACCTACGTCAGCATCATCACCTTCATCATGGGCGCCAGCATCCACCTGGTGGGTGACTCCGTCAACCACCGCCTGCTCTTCAGCGGCTACCAGCACCACCTGTCTGTGCGCGAGAACCCCATCATCAAGAATCTCAAGCCCGAGACACTGGTGAGGCCACCTCCGCCCCCCACGTGGAAGCCCTGTGGGCACAGTCTGCCCTCAAAGGCCCCAGGAATCGCCCCAGCCCGTCACTGCCCCTGTCCTTCTGTAAAGGCACTGCCGCCCTCGCCAAGCTAGCATGCACATGCATCGGCAGGGAGTGGCGCGTTGAGGGGCTCCCACCTGGGCCCCTCTCAGGGAGGGCAGGGCCCTGGGTAGGGAGTGAGGGCAGTTGGGGGAGGCCCGGGGTGGGCGGAGGGTGGCCAGAGGGGCTGCTTGGGGTCCCTGCACGCCCCGGGACCCACGTCCCCGGGACCCACGTCCCCTCTAACCCGCAGATCGACTCCTTTGAGCTGCTTTACTACTACGACGAGTACCTGGGCCACTGCATGTGGTGAGTGAGGGCCGGCCGTCCGTCCCAGGGGCCCAGCGGCTCGGGACACACCGGACAGACTGACTAGCCCTGGGTTCCTGTGTGTTGAGCGGAGCGCCCGGAAGGGCTCCTCTTTCTCTGGAAGGCGCCCGCAGGTTGCCCCGCCTGCCCCCGCCTGCCCCCGGCCCCCGCCTCGCCCTCGCCCGCCGCGCCTCCCAGCCCGCAGTGCCCGCGGCAGCCACCAGAGGGCGGCCGTCGTCCCTCCCTCGCCGGCCCGAGGTGGGGGACAAGGACGCGCCCCGTAAACAGCCCCCAGATGGGGCCGCGGGGCGGGGCCGCAGAGGGTCCCCCGCCGTGTCAGGCCTGCTCTCTGGCCGCGGAGGAGGCTGAGGGGAGCCAGCTGGACGGGAGGGGGACAGTGGGGGTAAGCACAGTGCGGTTTGTGCTCACAACTGCCGGGACAGCTCCCCACTCCGTTCCCCCCGCCCCCAAACCTTCCTTTCCCTCCCCCCACCCGGCGTCCGGCCGAGCCGAGCCTCCGCCAGCTCTCCCGGCCTCCAAGCTCTGCCCAGTGGGGGGTGGGGCCGGGAGGGAGCAGAGGGGTAGCGCGCTGGGCGTGTGGGCGATGGGGTGGGGCGAGGAGACGGGTGGACCGGCAGATGGAAGAGGCGGGTGTGAGAGCGCACCTGGCAGAGGGGAGCCCTTTGCTCAGAAGCGGGAGCGGGTACTTTGGGGTGAGATGTTGGGGGCTGAGGCTGTGCGCTTGGTGAGGGACCCCACAGAGCTCTTGCCTGACCCCCCCCAGGAGGTGCTACCCTCATCCTTTTTTTTAACCTGGCCCCCGACCCTGCCCGTCCCCAGCCCGCTGGGTCCGCCCGTGTGCAGGCCAGCGCGGGGCGGGGCCGCAGGTGTCTGGGAGTGAGACAGAGACCGCGCCCCTGTGGAGTGAGCGGTGGCCAGGGCGGGGTGGAAGGTGCCCACACCTGTAGCCCGTGTGCACCTGCCTTGCCCTCCCCGCCCTGTTCCTGTCCCACTTACCCCAGCTCGGGAAAGGCTGGGCGGGGTGCAGCGCCCCACAGGCGTTAGTAAACTGGGCGGCAGCCCACCCCCATAGGACGCTGCAAGGAGGCAGCCGGGAGGAGCTGGGGGGGGTGGCCAGGGCTGCCCCACAGCCCTCTCACGCACTGGCCTCCCTGTCGCAGGTACATCCCCTTCTTCCTCATCCTCTTCATGTACTTCAGCGGCTGTTTCACTGCCTGCAAAGGGGAGAGCGTGATGCCGGGGCCGGCCCTGCTGCTGGTGGCGCCCAGTGGCCTGTACTACTGGTGAGTGTCCACGTGGGAGGGGCGCTAAGTGGACCACAGACCTGCTGTGTGGCCCCGGGTGACACTGGCCCTCTCTGGGCCCGGCTTCCTCCTGTATCTACTAGGGACTGTGACAGTGCCTTACGGTGGCCTCTTTGCTAGCATGAAGCCGAGGCCGCGTGCGGCAGGGAGGTGGGAGGACGGAGTGAGTTTGCACAGTCTGTCCTTGTGCCTCACCTCCCGGAACCCCAGTGCTGCCCTGGGGCCAGTGAATCCACCTTCAACACCAAGTCCTGGGGAGCTCTGTGGGCCTCAGTTTCCTCTTCTGTGAAATGGGGGACATCTGCCTGTCTACGTCTACCTCTCAGGAGATGGTGAGGATCCTGGGGACTCCCCCAGCGAGGAGTTTGTAAAGTGTAAAGCCCCGTGGAGGTGGCGAGACAGCCTGGGGAGGAAGTCAGGGTCTCCGTGTTCCCTCCAGCTCTCTCTTCCCATTACGGAGGACCCAGCCTCGGCCAGGCTCTTGGCCCTCCTCTGTCACTTTGACCTTGGAGATAGGTCCCCCTGGGATAGCAGGTGTTGGAGGAAGGACCTGGGACAGGCCTGGGCCCTTGTCTGATGGGAGACCTCCCTAAAAATGAAAAAGGCCTCCCTTCCCAGGGCAGGCTCCAGCCCATCTCCAGGGCCTGTCCCCTCCCTGGCTGAGAGGGCCCACCAGGCTAACCTGCGTACTCCCTGAGGACAGGATTAAAAGGAATGGGTGGCAACTACAGCTAGAGAGAAAGTGCTTCCTGCCTAGTATTTTTTTTCTTTTTTCTCTTTCGATAACTGGTAGCAGCCTGCCTAGTTCTCATCCTTAGCATGCTGGGTCAGTGATAGTGACAATAGCAGCTGCAGTCGTTTGTTGAACAATATGCTTTTCCAAGTGAGAGATGTACAGAGCTCTTGTAGTAACTTTGAGAGGTAGGGCCATGTGTGCCCCCTTTGTAAGTGAGAAAAGAAGCTCCAGGATGTCAGAGAAATTCCGCAAGGTCACACAGCCGCTGAGCTGCAGACCTGTGGTCCCTTGAGTGTGACAGTCTGCATCATGGTTCTCCCTAGAGGCAGGGCAGCGGAGCTCCGCTAAGTGCTGCTGAGCTCCTGGCCGTATGTTAGGTACTGCGTTGGGCGTTGCAGGAACCCTGGGTGATCTGAGCCCATGTCCCGGCCTTCAAGGAGACAATGATGACAACCTCCACAAATTGCTGCTGTATTCCAAACTCAAATGCCTACAGGAGCCAAGCAGGGAACAGAAATGCATCAAGCAGACAGCAAGTGAGGCAGTAGGGAATGGTGAGGACTGTGGGAACTGCAGAGTGTGCCTCTGCAGTTACTCCTTTCTCTAAAAGAGGCAGCTGCTTTCTCCTCTAGTCAGTTTTTATCATGTGGAAATAAAGCTTAATGTGACTGGAGCAGCCAGAAATCCATTTTCAGGTATTCCATTATTTAAATATTGGCAACAAACAACATGAATAGTACCTGTACAAGCCGAATCGATATTCTGCATACAGGTGTGGCTTAGCGTGGCACAGTTCACTGGGCCGTCTCACCAGGGGGCTCTTCTGACTGCTCCAGAGGGCAGGCTGGGCCCCGGTATGGGAGGGATGCCAGGCAGGACACGGTCCCCATGGCTGCCACCTTGCCTCTCCACCGGCCTCTCCAGGTACCTGGTCACCGAGGGCCAGATCTTCATCCTGTTCATCTTCACCTTCTTCGCCATGCTGGCCCTCGTCCTGCACCAGAAGCGCAAGCGCCTCTTCCTCGACAGCAACGGCCTCTTCCTCTTCTCCTCCTTCGCCCTCACCCTCCTGCTGGTGGCACTCTGGGTGGCCTGGCTGTGGAACGACCCCGTGCTCAGAAAGAAGTACCCAGGTGTCATCTATGTCCCTGAGCCCTGGGCTTTCTACACCCTCCATGTCAGCAGTCATCACTGAGCCCCTGGCACTCCGCTGGGTGGGGAGTGGCACCTGGGCGCGGGGTGTGTGCGGGTGCGGGCGTGGGTGGCATGCGTGTGCAGCCAGTGCTGAGAACACGGGCGGAGCGTGCCTCGCACACAGGGATTGGTGTGTGTGTGCACACGCGGCTGTTTGTGTGTGTGCAGAGTGTGTCATTGTAAGACTTGACTACTCTCGTCAAGTTTCTGTTTGGCTTGGATCTTTTTAGGATGGGATCTAGTTGCAGAGAGCATGTTTAGGCCAGGATCTGGGCCCCTGCCCTCCTCTGAGCCTGACAGTGTAGGGGGCCCGGCTCAGGGCTGCTCTGTTCTTCCTCTGTGCATGAGAGGCCTGAGTAGGGCAGAGGCCAGGAGGGGACTTGTCATTTTGCCCACCTCCTTCCTGGCTCGTCACTCAGGCCCCCCTGACCCCGGCCGATAGGTTACATGGGTTACATCAACTTCCTGTGCATTGCTGCGCAGAGCACTCTGCCCTCTGGGCCTCATTTGCACTAGATGAGCCCGTGGTCCCAAAGCCGGTCAGTGGGCTGGGGCTGCTGACTCCCCACAGGGCAGCCTGGGGATGAGCAAGCGGCTGTGTCCTGTCACTGCCCTCTCCCAGCCTGGGAGGGTACATGCACCCCAGACCCCCACTCACCCTGGCCCTGGGGAGCTAGGGGCCCCACTCACTGCCCTGGCTGCGCTGGCCTGGGCCGGGAGTCTGGCAGTGCTGGCTCTCCAGCCCCCATCCCTCCCTCCGCCTGCTCCCACTCCAGAAGAGCAGTGGCACCGTGACTGCAGGTTTCTGACCGGCCCTGCAGGCAGAGTTCTCAATCGCTGGCACTGCTCCCTGAGCCCCGTTGTAGGGCCGGGACACCTGGAGGCTCTCCAGTCGGCCTGTCCCAGCTGAGTCCCATGCCTGCTGCTAGTGACCCCGGCCCCAGAGCAGGGCGCCTCCTCCTAGGCACGTGGGCCTCCCCACCCCACCTCCCAGCCCGCCCGCCTCCTTCCAGGCAGCGGTCAGGGTCCCCTCCAGGGTCCCCTCGTAGTGAAAGGCGCCACAGCCTCCTGTTTAGCCCGCGCTGGCCCACGTGTGGGTGCCGGGGCCAGCCTCGCCTTACCCGGGCCCAGCCTCCTCTCTGTGCTCTCAGGGAGCCCCGTACCTCAGACACTCCTTCCATGTTGGGGTCCCCCAGCCCTTGGGTCAGTCCTGTCTGCTGGCAGCATTGGGGGTGTGAATAAAAGCTGGTGTGGGGCCAAGCCCGCTGGCGCCTGTTTCTTGCCCGGGTGTGAGCTGGGGAGGCGGGGCGGCTCCCGGAGTGGAGGAGAGAGAGGCTGCCGCTCTGGGGCCAGCTCCCAGAGGCCGCCCTGGGCAGCCCGGTCTGGCCAAGAGCGGGCACTCCCACGCCCACTGGCTCTGCCACTCCACAGGCTCTTGCGGGTGAGGCCGGGGTGGGCCTCTTCCTCCGGTCAGTCCCAGCTGACCCAGAGGAGGCTGTGGGGGGGGGGAGCATCTCCAGTCCTTCCCCCAGGGCTGTCCCTTCGGGCCTCCCAGCTGCTCTGCGGCCTGTTCCAGAGCCTGAGGCAGAGGCTACCTTTCAGGGGAAGGCGGGAGGCTGGTGGGTTGGAGGTTGGCGCTTAGCCTGGGGCAGGCCCCTGGACCTCTTGGTTCTCAGTCTACCACACCATGACCGGGGACATTACTGGGGCTTGTGTCATCAGACAACACAGAGGAGGGGCGGCGCAGGGCGGGAGATGGCTCGACCCACGCGTCCTGTCCCCCACCTGACCAGCAAATGCCTTTGCCTCCAACCCTGCCTTGGGGACACTGTCCCTGCAACCCCGTCCCAGGGCTGTTCTCCATGAGCAGAGGCAGGTCTGACTGTGGGGCTCGAAGCTTACACAATTTTGGGGCCCTTGATAAGAAAACAATAAAAGAAGTGAATAAAAATTCGGCATGAAAGTGAATATTTAGAAAGGAAAAGAAATCACAGGAAATTGTCGGAGGCCTGGAGGCTCGTCAGGATCGGGCAGCTCGCGGAAGCGATTCCTTAGAGTACTCTTGGCCACAGCCGGGCTTTGCTGCACCTGCCAGCCGCAGGCCGATGTCGCTCCAGGTGTGGCTTGCAGGGGCAGCGTCAGGATGGCAGAGGAAAATGCAGACCCTTGACCTCCCGAAACCATGAATCTAACCCCAGCACAGGGTCCTGGTTCTGACGTGGGTCCAAGTTTGGGGACCACCACTCTAGGCCCTGGCTACTCCGAGTGTGATCCCGGTTGTGTCAGCCTCCCCTGGGAGCCCGTGAGGAACTCGGAGCCTGGCACGCACGCCGGCAGGTCGTGTGCGAGGCACTCGCAGGGGCCGCGGCAGGGACTTGAGTCTGTTGCTAGGACAGATGCAACAAAGCGCCACGAACTTAGTGGCTGAAAACAGCAGGAATTTGTCCTCTCAGACCTGGAGGCTAGGAGCCCAACTCAGGGTGCTGGCAGCGCGGGGCTCTGGCGACACGCAGGCCATCCTTGGCGCTCCGGCTTGTGGACGCGGCACCCCCCTCCCCGCCTCCGTGCTCGCTGCCTCTGTGTGTCCCTGCGTCCCAGCTCCCCTCCCCGGATTAGGGCCCACCCTGCTCCAGAATGACTCCCGTCCTAATTACATCTGCAGGGTTGTTTCCAAATAAGGACACAGTCCCAGGTTCCTGGTGGACAGGAGTTTTGGGGGGACTCTTCAACCCAGTACAGGCCTGAAGTTTAGGCCTCCTGAGTCCTCCGTTCTGGGGCGCGCAGGGTGGGAGAAGCGCACCCCCACCCGCCTTCGCCCGCAGGCACACCCTAAACATGCCGAGGACTTGGACCACTCGAGGCCCACGGGGCCGCCCTGTCAGCCCTGACGGAGTGGGGGCCCTTGTGAGGAGACGGTGCCCCAAGGGGTGAACATGGACCAGGAACACCTTGCAATGGCAGGGAGGAAGGAGGCCTGCTCCCGAGTGCCTGGGGAAAGGGCTTGGGTCGCGGAAAGGCCACGAGCAAGAGCCAAGATCGACTCATCAAAACCTTTACGCGGTGTTGGGGCCCAGAGGCTCTGCTTGGGACCCTCTTGGGCAGTAAGGGGAGGCTGGAGGGAGGGGGGCTTCCTTCTGTCTAGAATCCCTCCTGCAGGATCCAGAGAGTGGAGGCAGGAGGGACGGGAGTCGAGGTGGTGCTCAGGGGACGTGTCAACCCCCAAGGGGGACCAGGGTTCAAGAATAAAGTAAACAAAATCACAGTCCCCAAGTGGTATTAGATCTTTTCTGGTTTTGTTTTGTTTTGTTTTGTTTTGTTGAGACAGAGTCTCGCTTTGTTGCCCAGGCTAGAGTGAGTGCCGTGGCGTCAGCCTCGCTCACAGCAACCTCAAACTCCTGGGCTCAAGCAATCCTCCTGCCTCAGGCTCCCGAGAAGCTGGGCCTACAGGCATGCGCCACCATGCCCGGCTAATTTTTTCTATATATATTAGTTGGCCAATTGATTTCTTTCTATTTATAGTAGAGACGGGGTCTCGCTCTTGCTCAGGCTGGTTTTGAACTCCTGACCTTGAGCAATCCGTCCGCCTCGGCCTCCCAGAGTGCCAGGATTACAGGCGTGAGCCACCGCGCCCGGCCTTTTCTGGTTTTCTTCCACTTTGCATTGAGGTGTGGCATCCACGCAGTGCACCACACAGCTCGATGACTAGGTATAGTGGCCCTCTTGTAGGCACTGCCCCAGGGCAGGTGTTTTCTACCTTGTGTGAGACACCTCCCTGGAGGCACCTAAACTGTAAGGAGGGAGCTGGCAGGGTGTCAGCGAGGGTGCCTCGGGGGACATAGCTCAACCCCAGCACATGCTGACCTAAACCCAAGGAAATGTCTTTTCTCTCCTGGTGCCCTTCCGGAAGGAAGGGTGATTCTGAGTGAACACTTCACCCGCTCGCGGCCTCCGCACCCTCCTGTAGCCCCGACAGCCTCCCCCAATTCCTTCTCTGCCGCCTTCAGCCCTGCAGCCCGGCTTTCCTCTTCCCTGCCCCAGCAGGGCAGTCAGAGCCCTTGGGCCGCTGCTCTGCATCTGGCACAGGTGTAAAGAGCAACTCGGCCGGCGCGGTGGCCCGCCCCGCTAATCCTAGCACTCTGGGAAGCGGAGGCAGGAGGATGCTTGAACTTACAAGTTCCAACCAAACCAGCCTGAGCAAGAGCGAGACCCCATCTCCACTAAAAATAGAAAAACTAGCCGGCGTGGTGGCACAGGTGACAGAGCAAGACTCTGTCTCAAAAAAAAAAAAAAAAAAAGCCCTCAGGAGATACAATTTGGGGAAAAGAGAACTTTCTACATGGAGGTGGTCAGGAAAGGAGGGAGACAGAATAGACCAAAGGCAGGCCCCACCTGTCCCTCCCTGTGCCTTTGTACAGACGGGCAAGAGGTCCCCCTTCCTCTGAGCACATGCACCCCACACCAGCACCCACCCGTACCCTAGGCTGGCAGCCCTGGTGTCGGGCGCCACCTGGGTGGCCACACCTGACGGCCCTGACACAGTGGGACGGACCCTGGATGTAGAGCCCTACAGACAGGCCAGCCCCCAGCTGTGGACAAGAGCCTCCCACTCTGCAACAGGGAAACGGGGTCTCCAGACAAGGGGGGACCCCGGAGGTGTCCCCCAGGGCAGCTCCCAGGGCCACACCCCGCCCCATTGCCTTTGTCGGGGGAGGGGAGCTGCAGAAACCCCTGAGGACACTGGGAGTGTCAGCAGTTTCTGCTCTAAGGGGTGGGGACTGGGGGTGGACAGACAATGGGAAGGAAAGGAAGCTTCTGGCCAGCATGCAGGATGTCCCCTAAGAGGTCTCACCCCCAGTCCCAAGTAGCCACAGGGGTAGTGGAGACCCAGCCTAGGCACCCACCCCCAGACCCCCAGAAGGAGGGAGCACAGGACTGGCACAGACTGAGACCCAGCTGTGCTGGCCACTTGATTCTTCCAACGGACGGGTAATTCAGCCCAGTGAGGAAACTGAGGCACGGGAAGGCAGGAAAGGACTGGATCCCAGCCTGAGAGCAGCACAGCCCGTGTTCCTTCTGCAGTGCCGCGCCCAGGGCTGGGGCAGGGCACCTGTCCCTGAGCCGGCCTGCTGGACGGGTTCCCGCCCTCCTGTGACCAGCCTGCAGTAGGACAGGCTGAAAGTGCCCGACTCCAGGCAGGAGGCCTGGGGAAGGAAGGCTGTGGCCCAGGGGCAGCCCCACCGGGCCCCCTTCTGAGTTCACTTTCCCCTCTTGCGGGGCAGGGCTCGGGGCGCTGGCCCCAGGGGACAGGGGCCCAGTCCGGGGACAGCCCTCCGTGCACCTGCGCGGCGGGGCGGAATCTGACCCGAGGCGGCGGCCGGTCTCCAGGCAGCGAGGATTTATTACCGGCCTCCGCCCGGTTGGACTTTGGACCCGAAGCCAGAGGAGAGGGCCCGAGGGGACCGGGGACCGCAGCAATGGTGAGCGGGTGGCCGAGGCCAGGCCTGGGTGGGGGCGCTGGGAGCCGCCGAGTCCTTGCCTGACTGTTTTCCTCTCTCTGCTGCAGGCCAAGTTTCTTTCCCAGGACCAAATTAATGGTAGGTTGGTTTGCTCTTTAATTAGCAGCTCCCAGCAAAATGTGGGTCTCATTAGGCGATTCGCTCTGCTCGAGTTTTGCTGTGGGGAAGGAAGCGGCCGGTGGGGAGCTGGGCCCACCCACGGGCAGGGGGGCTGGAGGGGGGGGTCAAAGGTGGCCATGTGGCTTCCTGTTTGTCAGTGTGATTCAGGAGCTGGGGTGACAGGAGCGAGCTCACTAGGGTTCCCACCTGACAGTTGGATTTGGAGGGGAGGGTCTGGGAGGGAGAGAGAGACCATTAACTTCAAGGCTGAGGGCAGGGAAAAGGGGGGGCTCTGTAATTGCCTGAGAGGGAGGAAAGGGCCGGGTCTGCACCCTCAGATTATACACCCTCAGGCGAGACACTTCTACTCTCTTGGCCTCAGTGTCCCCATTTGTAAAATAGGGGATCAGCTGAAGTCCCTTCTGCCCTGGCATTAAGCCTAGTTTTGGTGTGGGCACTTCATTCCGTGGGTCCCCCAATCCGCTGGCCCCCAGCCGGGCTCCAGTTTCACACAACCAAGCTCTGTTTCTGCAAGGCCAAGAGGAAAGAGTTGGGTTACAGAGAACTCGGGCCCCAGACCCAGGCCAGGGGAGCCTCGTGGCTGCAGCCCCTCAGCCCCTGTCAGTAGAGGCTCAGGTGGCACAACCCGCACTTCTTAAGGCTGCGCCCCTGAACCTGTCCCTAAGTGGATAGCAGTGGGCCTGGCAGCCCACCCCTGGGTGTCCTGTTACTCCAGGTCTCTGCTGAAATGTCACCTTCTCAGTGAGTCCCTCTCTGAGCACTGGAGGTAAAATCACAGGCACCTTGGGCCCGTGGTGCCTTTGTAACCAGGGCAGGGTCCTGAGAGCCCTAAGTGGGCTCAGGGTTACCTGGGCAGGGGTTCCAGAGTTCTGAGTCTCCAGAATTTGGTCCAGAGCTGGGGAGGAGTTGTGGGCTCCAGGTGGGCACCTTCCCATGGACCTCTTGAACCCCTTATCCTATCAGGAGGGCTAAGGCAAGGACTTTTAAAGTACAGGGCCCAGGGTGGGGGCCCCTCTTGCCCAGGTCTAAAGGCGGCAGACCCAGGACTGGAGTCCAGTTCTCAGCCTCCGAGCCCCCAACCCACACCTGGTTTTGAGTCTCAGTGACCCTCCATCCTGGAGCCTTCAAAGCTCCCAGAAGGAAAGAAAGTAATTTCTCTTTGTATCCCAGTGTCTGACACCACGAAAGTGGCCACCGAGGTTGAATGAATGAATGAAAGACTGGGTGGGGCGGCCTAGTGTAATGGGAAGATCAGGGGCTTTGGAGGGAACAGATCTGGGGTCCAATCACCTCTGAGCCTCAGTTTTCTCATCTG